CGGCCCGGCCCGGCCCGGGCGGCGCAGACCGACTCGGGCGCGGGGAGTCCGGGCTCCAGCTTGAGCCGCGGGAGGAGCCGGCGGGGCCTTCCCCTGCCTTCCCAGTCGCAGAAGTTCGCCTTTCAGAGGCTGCGCTCAATTTTTCCATGGAGTTCCGGGCCGATGCCAAGTCTGCTTTAAACTTTACATTCGTTAATGGTTTTCAGGCATCTAGTATGTGCGGGGATTTAGAGCGCCGTCTTTAGATCCAGACTGACTGGGATTTGAATCCCTGCCTATCGAGTTTTTTTGGGTACACTAGACTGATGACAACCTTGCCAAGTCTCGATATAAATGGAATTGAAGTAACTATTTTATAGGGCTGTCGTGAAGATTCGGTGAGAGAAAGTGGCGCTCCGTATCTTGGTGGTTATTGTTAGGTCTAGGGTTAGATTTCCAAAAAGCTGTCGCTACTTTGGAAGTCTTGATACCCTCGAGTGTTGTCACCTTGGGGGTACCTTGCAGTTCAGGAAGGACTTGGGGAAACCTTTTTCCTCCACCCATCCTTGCTTGTAGCTGAGTTTTAGGGTGAAAAGCCAGTATTAAGGGAGAAGATATTGGTATCTAAAGGACAGCTTTGATCACCTGGCTCTCCAGGGTAAGGAAATCAGTTGATTTTTATGTGTAAGCCCTGAGATCAGGAGTGACCACTTACCCTGAGCACTCGGAAAGCATTTAGTAAGGCTTTCCCATACAAGGGGCTGTTAATTTGTTTAAAGTTGAAGTATACTGAATCCTAGAAAAAGCATCTCAGTCTGTTGGGTATTTTAAGAGGGTATTGGAGAAATAATATGCTGAGGATTTAATTTTAATACTTGAGCAAAAAGACCTTCTCTAGAGCTTTGTTGTCTAGGATGGTAGCCTCTAACCATGTGGCTGTGAAGCAGCCACATGGTTTTTTTTTTTGGAGACAGTGTCTTGCTATGCAGTTCAGGCTGGCTTTGAGCTCACTTTGTAGCCCAGGCTGGCCTCAAACTCACAACAATCCTCCTGCCTCAGCCTCCCGAGTGCTGGGATTACAGGTGTGTGCCACCACTCCTGGCAGATTCTTAAATTAGTTGAAATGAAATTAAAAATTCATTTCTTCACTCACACAAGCCACATAACCACATATATCCAGTGGCTGCTACATTGGTCAGTTCGGGAGACCATTTTTGTCATCACAGAAAGTTCTGTTGGACAGTGCTGCTCTTGAGCTCTGAACTTGAAAGCTGTTTGCATCTGATCTCACCAGCATATGACTTCGCTGAAGGGTCTTAATGTGGTCTTCAGTTTTGTGACAAGTTCTCAAGTGTATTTCATTCATTTTCTGATTAAGAAAAAGAAGAGCCTTGAGCCTGAAAAGCTGATTCTTCTTTGTGAGAGAAATTGTAGCTAGAAGTTTAGTATTACATGAGAAGACAGCTTTGTGGAAATTCTAGGTAGAGGGTGGTATACATATATGTTTCTGCTATCTTCTCCAGACTCATTAAAACTAGTAAGGGATTTTTTTTTTTAAACAATCCAAGGCTAGAAGTATAACTCAGTGGTAAAGTGCTTGCACAAACCCCTTGGTTCAGTCCGCAGTATTGGAGGGAAAAAATTGGGAAGCTGAGTGTATAACTCATTGGTACAGCATTTGCCTAACATGTGTAGGCTTGATTTGATTCCCAGCAACACACACGCACATGCACATACACGTGCGCATGCACACACACATCACAAGGATCAAGAGAACAAGGCATAGGTGGCCACAGCAAACTTTGGGAAGTTAGAAGGTCACAGTGAGTGGTAAAGTATTTAGCAGACCCAAGAAAAATGAGTCCTAACCCAACAGATAAGAAAGCTGGGGTGTGTGGCAGGAAGAAATCTGGGAACTAACTGGAAATATATTGCAAAATTTTTTTTTTTTTTTTTTTTGTTTTGAGACAGGGTTCTCACTATACAGTTCAGGCTGGCCTTGAGCCCACTTTGTAGCCCAGGGTGGTCTCGAACTTGGAATGATCCTCCTGCCTCTCAGCCTCCCGAGTACTGGGATTACAGGTGTGTGCTACCACGCCTGGCTTGTCTTCAGTCAGAAGGAAACTGATTCAGCCTAGAGTTCTGAGTCTGGACAAACTTACCTGAGGCTAGAAGACTTTCAGATGTTCAATGACGCTCCAGAATGGAGGATGTGCTTTGCACAGCAAAAAGTACGTTTTCAGGGTGATAAACTGCACCTTAATTGTAGAAGATCACCTGTCAAATTTTGGCAGGAGAGAAAACTGAGAAAGATTCCTTCCAGGGTCAGGAGAGAAAACAGATTGCTTCAGGAGTCAGGAGATAAAACTCTGAGAGAGATTCCTTCAGGAGGCTAGAGCTTGCTGTAATACTTGAGCTGCAGGTATTAGACAAGTAACTAAAAGTTTGGGTAAGAATAGATAAAACAAACCAGGTGTGGTGGCACATGCCTATAATCCCAGCACTCGGGATGCTGAGGCTGGAGGATTGCTCTGATTTCGAGGCCAGCCTGGGGTACATGGTGAGTTAAGGACATCCTGAATTGCACAGCAAGACCCTGTCTCAAAAAAAAAAAAAGATAAAACAAGGCAAACTGAGGTGAGCTGGGAACAGGCAATTGTTAATTCCAGTGGAATAAAAACTGGGCAGGATAAGAAACATAGTTTATTCATAGGAAGTTAATAACTATATATAAGGCAAACACCAACTACTCAGCTAGTCCACATTATGAAACTAGGAGAAAAGGGGAGGGACTGTGGTAGGGTCAGACAAAGAAAGGTGGAAAGACAGTAAAACTAAAAAATCAAGAAGTACTAAAATAAGCATGTAGGGGCTGGGGATTTAGCTCAGCAGCACAGCACCTGCCTGGCAAGCGCAAGGTTGTGAGTTCGGATCCTGATACCGGAAAAAAACAAAAAACAAACAAACAAAAAAGGCATGTATTTATATGTTTGCAGGTAAGTACTGAAGTATCAGCCAGAACTAACACAAGAGGTTATTCTTGGGCAAGGAACTAGTTTTTAATTACAAACCTCTTTGGCTCTTGGGCTCTTTGACTCTTTGATGCTTTGATCTCTCTCTCTTTCTCTCTCTCTCACTCTCTCTGTCTCTCTTTCTCTTCCTGTCTCTGTCCCTGTCCCTACCCCTTCCCCCGCCCCCCGACAGGGTCTCATTATGTAGTTCAGGAGGAATTATGATCCCAGCACTTGAGAGGTTCAGGCAAGAGGATCGTGAGTTTGCAGCCAGCCTGTACTATACTGCAAGACCCTGTCACGGAAAACAAAAGGGTATTCTGAAGTTGAAACAAATAATAAATCATGTAGGTAGAAGTTTGGACATCAGTTTACTCATTGCCAAGAGAATATAGTAGGCATTTAAGCATAAAAGAAAAACCTAGCATTATTTTGTTTCTTTGTGTACTCTTGATTTATACTACTGATAAAGGCTGTGAAATAAGTCTCGGAAGAAAGTGGTGACACCATTGTGTGTTGGTTATATGAATCTCATCGCCTGCTCTATCACTTATAAAATCCACAACGTGGCCTCTGTAGCTTGTAGAATATCGCTCAGGAGAAGATTTTCCCAGGTTTTTGTGAGTATTCACAAACTGCTGTCTTCCCTGGGTCCCTAAGCAAGGGGCTGCAGCTTTGTTAACTTGGGTGGCTGTTGAAAGCTAAGGACTCACTAGCATCCGTTTATAAACTTACTTGGTTTCAGGTTTAGTTTAAAAAATGCAGGTGCTGTGACTCTCTGCTCCTCTCTGGGCAGTGACTTCCTGTCTTGGAGGTATCCCCTTGATCACTGATAAGATGGGGCTACTGATGTTTCCCTTGTAGACTTCTTTGCATTAGCAGCCAACTTTGTATTCCCAGATGAGAGTAAATACAGTATGCATTCTGTGTCACTAATCTCTGAAACAATTGTATGGGGTAGGTCCTGTTATCCACATGGCATACATGAAATGGAAGCTCAGGAAGTGACATTATTTCTGAGTTCCTATAGCTAGTGAGAGGCAGAACTGGGATCCAGCCTCTCTTTTTTTTTTTTTTGTCTTTTTGAGACAGGGTTTCACTATGCAGCTCAGGCTGGCCTCACACTCGTAGTGATCCTCCTGCCTCAGCCTCCTAAATGCTGGGATTACAAGCATGCGCCACCATGCCCAGCAGATGGCAGCTGTTGGATCCAGCCTCTTAACCTTTCACTTTTAGCCAATGTGTGGATGTTCCGCTAGACTGGCTGCTATGGGAGGCTAATGTGAGGTAAGGTAGAAGGGACATGCGAGGCACACAGTAGGCCATCCCTAGATTTGGAGTAGTTCTAAAAGGGTATTGTCTGTCCAGACATTTTTGCTCTTTGCCTTGCCTCTTGAGCCCAAGTTAAAGTATACTGACTGATTGGATTAAGTTCTTTGCCCCCTTGTGGCGCTAGGGATAGAACCCAGGGCCTCAGACATGCTAGGCAAGCACTTTAGCACTGAGCTACATGCCCAGGCCTACTGCTTGGAGTGAAATGGTACACCTTAACTGGGTGGGATTTTGCCCCACAGGAGACATTTGACAATGTCTGGAGGAGATTTTGTTACAACTGAGGTGTGAGATGAATGGACTGCTCCTGGCTGCTGTTAGTGGTAGAGAGCAAGAATGCTGCTAAAAATCCCGCAGTGTGTAAAAGTAACCCCTATAACAAGGAATTATCCAGCCCAGTAGTGTGGCAGTTCCAGCATATGCACACTCACACATGCACTCATTGTTTTCTAATCTGACCGGTGAAATTGTATCTGTGGGCTTTGTCTTCACAGGTTTCTGAGACACTAAAGCGTTTTGCAGGGAAGGTGACAACAGCCAGCGTGAAGGAACGGAGAGAAATCCTCAGTGACCTGGGAAAGTGTGTAGCTGGAAAAGGTATTTATTTGTCATCAAGTAGCCTGGATACTGTTTCATTTCAAAAATACATTGTAGCTGGGTGTGGTGGTAAATGCCTGTAATCCCAGCATTTGGGAGGCTGAGGCAGGAGGATTGCTACAAGTTTAAGGATAGCTTGTACTGCAGAGTAAGTTCAAGGCCATCCTGAACTACATAATGAGACTCTGTCTCAAAAAAACAAAACCAAAAACCAACGGGAAAAAAGTTGTCTACTTACCTTAGAATGGTGATCTTTTCCCTACTGTGTACAACTCCTGCCTTCACTTTCTTTGCTTGTTATACTGTGCCTTGAAACATTTTGGGTTAGTGGAGAGTTTATCCCTTCAGTTGTCAAAAGATTTTACAGTTTTAGCCATTTTGATTGAAAACATTTCTAAAAGATACCATCAGTCTTTCTGTAGTATATGAGAACAAAAACACGTGAAATGTAGCATTCTCCCCTATGTGTGTTCTTGGAAGTCAGCAATATGATGAGAGGTGATTGGCTAGTACAGGATTCCAAAGTCAAGAAAGTTTGGGAGACGTGGTTCCTTCTGCCCTGTTGGAGTATTCCCAGCAAGATATTTTGCCATTATTAAACTTTCTTCAGTGAAGTGTTTTCCCTGAGAGCTGCTGCCTCCTGGGTTGGGAGTCAGAGATTAAACCCAGGGGTATACTACCACTGAGCTATATCCCAAGCCCCTTTAATTTTTTATTTTGAGACACTAAGTTGCTCAGGCTGGTGTTGAACTTGTGATCCCACTGTCTCAATCTCCAAACTAGCAGCTAGGTTTACTGGCGAGTTCCACTGCTTGAACTTCCTGTTTGCTGGGGAAAGCCGGGCACATCTCATTATCCTGATCCCACCCCACAATAGAGGGATGTTCCTATGACATTGGTGGCAAACCCATGGCATGCGTGCTGCAGTGGGCTGTTTGTATCACTGAAAGCTCTTTTTTTTGTTTGTTTTTTTCTTACGGTACCGGAAATCGAACTCACGACCTTGCGCTTGCCAGGCAGGCGCTGTGCCACTGAGCTAAATCCCCAGCCCCCATTGAAAGCTCTTAAGTGTTCACCATCACTGCCCTATGACCCTCTGGGGTGTATAAGACAGTTTGCTTCATTCAATAAATCCTTACCAGTTTTTTGAGTTTCCTTTTGGTGTGTGTGTTTTACTGTACAGCATCGATGCCCACAGTGTGGCCCCTAAGCCCAGCAGTCAGAAAGGCAGCTGGTGTCAGCTTAAGCACCACCTCAGAACCTGTTAGAGATTTTCAGCTTCACCTCAGCAATGCAGTCAGAAACCCTGGGCGGCGCTGCCCAAGCCTCTAGGAGAATACTGTGTTTATTCAAGTTTGAGGACCGTGCTCTATGCATTTGGGTCTTCCCTTCTGTCAGCTTTCACTTGGCTTACTGAAGAGCCTACTTCCTTCCTCTCTTCCACTCACCGTCCCATGTGCTGTTTCTCCCCAGCCATTACCTGGGTAGCATACCCAAGCTTGTTAAAGCGGTGTGTAAATGAAGTAAATTGCTGTGTGTGAGCTTCTGAGACATTCTCATGTGTATTCATGCTTTAGTGTGTGAGTTTTATGGCCTCCTCAGAGGTCTTTCTGGTTACTTTCTCAGCAGGTGTTCTGGTTAGTAAAAGCTACGCTAGCTAGCTACCAGCTGTGCATACGTGCTGAGCTGCGGTGGTCAACTCTCCCTGTGAAATAACTGCCCCATGCTGCACTCCATCTACCCGCCAGTTCATGGAGTGAAGCGCTTGACTCCTGTGGGTCAAGCTAATGAATAACTTCAGACCTTTTAAGGGTGATTTTATTCTTCTCTCCCCCTGAAAGCCCTGGATTCAGGATGGGCTATATTTGTGAAGTGCTTAGTAGCCTTTGATGTGCAAGTTGATTGGACAGCATTAACTGTTTCCTTCATGAGCTCATTAATTCTCCGTTTCCTGATTTTCTGAGTCTAAGAAGGGGCTGTTGCACAGTGGCAATTACTCTGGCCTCCATTTGTCGGGGAGCAGATAGCCATGTAAGTCAGCAAGAGCTGGGCTGAGATGTTTCTAGCTAGACTGAGGAGTTGAGGACTTGCTCGGAGCTGTTTAATCTTGGGGGCACTGGTCTGCCTTGCCCTGGCGGAGGCCTCTGTGCTGCTCTCTACATCCTGCCTCCACAGACTTCAAAGACTTGCAGCATCTCCTGTGTCTGCTCTTACCTCTAGTGCCAGTCAGTGATGGACGGCTCAGCTGGGCTCTGTGTTCTAGCCATGGCTCTGCCACTGGGCTGTGTGACCTGCCTCTCTTATCTCTCTGAGGCTGTGTCCTTGGTTTGAACCACGCATAGGGTCGGTGTGAGGAGCAGCTGAGAACGTGCACGGAGGGTGTTTAACGCGTTGCCTGGCTGTGGTGTGCTCACAGGGTATATTAGCTGTTACTGGCGCCATTTTCTTAGTCACCACCAGTTCCTGGCCTGAGTTATTCACTCTTTTCCTCAGTCACAGAAGTAGCCCCAGTCAGATGGACTAGAGAGACCTGGGATGAACTGGCTCATTCATTTCCCCTGTCATTTGGGACCTGAAGTGTGAGACGCCATGTGATCCCTTCTTGGGCTTCCTGCTCTTGTGTGCCCTCCACCTTTGTCTTGTACTGCTCATGCTTCTGTCACCTGTGTGCTCTGGTCTGGCATGGCGTACTCACAACATATTTCTTTCCAAGCTTTTTTTTTGAAACAGAGTTTCACTATGTGGTTTAAGGTGGCCTTGAACTCACTATGTAGCCCAAATTGGCCTTGAGCTCATGGTGATCCTCCTGTCTCAACTACCCAAGTGCCGTGATTACAGGCATGCACGACAATGCCCAACTTTTAAAATTTACTTTATTTATTTATTTGCTTTCCAGGTTTCTTGAGCACTCTTATTCAGCCAAACTGCTTGTTTCTCTCTGACTGGTGTGCTTAGGTTCCTGCTGCCTGTTTTCTTCGTCTTAAAGTGTGCTTAATGAAAGAGCCCACCTTACGATGACTGAGATAGTGTGTGAAATGGTTAGAGTAGCACTAGTTAAGTGCCAGGTGTTGTCAGTCTCTCCATCTTTCTTATTCCTGCGCTTTTGCTCATGTTGTTAACACTACTCAGAACATACTTCTTTTTCCATTTTCCCACAGCCTACTGATCTACTAGACCAAGCATATGCGTCCTTCACACATTCTTTTTTTTTGACACAGGGTCTCACTGTGTAGCTCAGGTTGGCCTTAGACTCGCTGTGTAGCCCAGGCAGGCCTCAAACCCACGGTGATTCTCCTGCCTCACCTTCCCGAATGCTGGGATTACAGGTGTGCGCCACCATCCCTGGGCCTTTCACACATTCTGAAACCACTCTAGTTACAGGTGCTTTGTCCCTTTCTGACTTCTCATGGTACTTTAATCTTGTACTTTTTTTCTTTTGAGATGAGGTCTTACTATGTCAGCTAGCCTTAAATTCTTGGGCTCAAGTGATTCTCCTATCCCAAATAGCTAGAAGCATAGAAGCACACTGGCTTGTACTTACTGTCTGTCTATCTAGCTACCTGCCTACCTACCT